TCTTTGGGAGATTTCTTTTTTTTTTTTTTTTTTTGAGACTATCTCACTCTGCTGCCCTGAAATGAGCTGCTGGGTGCAGTGGCTCACGCCTATAATTTCAGCACTTTGGGAGGCCAAGATGGGCAGATCAGGAGGTCAGGAGATCAAGACCAGCCTGGTCAACATGGTGAAACCCTGTCTCTACTAAAAATACAAAAATTAGCCGGGCATGGTGGCACATGCCTGTAATCCCAGCTACCCAGGAGGCTAAGGCAGGAGAATCGCTTGAACCCGGGAGATGGAGGTTGCAGTGAGCGGAGATGGCACCACTGCATTCCAGCCTGGTGACGGAGCGTCTCAAAAAAAAAAAAAAAGAAGAAGAAATGAGCTGAACCCTTGAACACTTTTACACTGCTGGTGGCAATGTCAATTAGTACAACCACTATGGGAAACAGTATGGCGATTCCTTAAAAAACTCAATGTAAAACTACCGTTTGGTCCAACAATCCCACTACTGGCCATCCACCCAAAGGAAAAGAAGTCATTATATGAAAAAGACACATGCCCACACATGTTTTCATTTTGCAGTTACAAAGATTTGGAACCAACCTAAGTGCCCATCAACAAATGAGCAGATAAAGAAAATATAGTATATATACAGCATGGGATACCACTCAGCCATAAAAAGGAATGAAATAATGTCTTTTGCTGCAACTTAGATGGAGCTGGAGGCCATTATTCTAAGTGAAGTAACTTAGGAGTGGAAAACCAAATATCATTATGTTCTTACTTATAAGTGTAGTGGGACTGAGATAAGTGAGTGGATGCAAACAAAATCTTTATTATGACACCTTTCACAGGCTGGTCCGTGTTTCACTGTACCCGGCAATGGGGATGCACCAAAGACTCAGAAGTCACACTAATAACTTATCCTGAAATTTACAAACACCTTACCCTCACAAACATAAATAACTTTTTTTAAAAAAAAAAAGAAGAATACCATCCCTGGATGTGCGCTGGCCTTCATGGCCTTAACCCCAGCAAGTTCTGGGAGGCCCGAGGTGCGGCACGATCAACATTGAGTCCAGGTTTGGACCAGCCTGGCCAACATGGTGAAACCCTCGTCCTACTAACACAATGGCAAAAATTTTAGCCAGATCGTGGTCTGCGGCCCTGTAATCCAGCGCTACTGTGGAAGCTGAGGCACGGAGAATTGGCTTGAACCCGGGAGGCTGCAGCATTTGCCAGTGACG